GTTTTAATGGAAACTATAAATAAATAATATCGTCGTCTGTCCTATCATTACCGCAAGCTAAACCCGACATGCCTCCTGCACTCAGATTTGACGATAAAATTCAGATGAAGACGACTTTGTTTTACTGTTTTGACTCTAAATGCGTGGATGAGGAGACATGCGACGCATACAACGAAATTATCTATCTGCAGGCTATCGCCAAGTCATTCGCTCCATGATTCTAATGCCAACAGGCCAAAACATTATTTTTCCCCCACAATGCGTCTTCCGATGCTTAAATGAATGCTCCATTAAAAGTGTCTTCGCTGCAGCGTAATAATGAGGCATTTTACGGCGCAAAACAATGCGCTGACGCAAAAGTGATTAACTATAGACTGCGGATGCATATAATGTGCGGCCACCTGCTGACCGTTTATCTCAGTACTCTAAACGGCTGATTTTGGCTAATAGCGTCGATATTGTTTGTGTGCGAGCTTTTCTCCTTTTAAAGTCAGAATGAATCTCAAAAAGACTGATCATTAACCCTTTCATGCACCCTGTGATCTGGTAACATGATAAACTGTCCCGAAAGGGTTAAAAACAAACAAACCCCCCCCCCCCCCCACAACAAAAACACAAAAACCCCCAAAACAAAAACATTCGTGTGGCAACTGAGACTTACACACAGGCATTTGTTTGCATGTCGCGTGCGCTTTTTTTATTGCTGCGTTGCGGTGAGATATTTGTGACCAGTTTTCCCTCCCCTGCATGTGGCCTATCCCCTTGTATTGGAGTTTCACACAACCTATTGATTTGTAAGCTTCTCCTTCGCCTTGCGCCAACGCCTGCTTTAGCCTGCGCTCGCAACAAATTTCATATCAAAAGCAATGCGCGGCAATGATGGTAAACGGTCCATATGTTTGTCTAAGGGATGACTTCCTGTTAAATTTGCGAGATCATTGGTTGCCTTCATCCCTCTCTTGTTGTTAGCAGCAAAGATTAAAAAAAAAAACAAAACCAAAAAAAAAAAAACAATAAAAATGAAAATTACAATCCAGTTCTAACCCTAAAAATTAAAGACCTTGTTAACATGTGTAGTAAAACATCGTAGATACCATTCAAACTCAATAAATCAGCTTCGTCGAGCCTGTCCAGACGATTAGGCTTTCATATTGAACACTGGAGTGGAGTTGAATTGCCGGTAGATGTTGATGACAACTCGGAAACAGTAAGGGCAAAGACATAAATACGCGAGGCCTGGGAAAAATGGTGTCCCTCACATTTGGCAGAAGAAGAGAGGTCATAGTGAGAAGCCAAATGAGAAAATAGAAGGCCAGGGGGAAAAGGAGGCTTCGGGCTCTGGGGGTTAAATTAAATGCTTCAACTCTCTGCTATTTTAACAACTAGGGGAATGTGCACCTGAGCAAGGCAGATTGATCTTCGGAGGAACCGTTATTTAGCGGTTTGTGTTCGTGTGACAAAAAGGAGTTGTCGACAGATTAGATCGCTGAAAACCTGCCCACTGGAAATAAATATGAACACAGTCAGTGTATTGTATAGCGTACCATCCCAACCAATATTTATTTTGTTGTCATTAGGATTCCAAAGGCAACCGAACAAAAGATTGAGCTCAATCTGTGTAGGGACACGCGGGGAAAGCCAATGTTGTTTGTTTGAATTTTGAAACAAATTCCCACATAGAAAATAGAAGCTAATGATTTTGCAGGCTCGTTTTAAGCAACATTTTAACATCCATGTGATACATGACTGCGAAAACAAGTTAATCTGCGACTATTTACACTTAAAACCAATAAAAACACTCAACTCAAGTCTTGACTTGAATGTCAAAGGCCTAATGCAAATGTTACTCACTTCCCAGATGTCCCTCAGGTGCGATGCGGTCTTGCACGACATCTTGGCGGTCCAGATGATGGATTCCTTACTGTATGTGTTGGCTAGAATGCCCATAGAAAAAAAAAAGTAAAACATTTGCACATAGTTGATCCTTGTGCATATCCAGTGCAACAGTCGACAGAGTCCGAATTACAGTAAGTGTAGTGCATAAACCAGCTTTTAAAGTTAGATGCAAACTGATGAAATAAACCTTCGACGCCTGCTTTGACAAGTTGCCAACTTTTAAAGTGGATTTGTGGCTTGAATTCCTGTTGAGAAGTATTAAACTTGATGGACTGATTTGCACCTCACAATGCAGAGGTTAAGGGTACTGCGTACAATTTTTTTATGTGCTGTATATTTTTTTCCTCATATATGAACCAAAAAGGAAAGAATTTCTTACCTAACGTCGCGTTTAAATGACAAGACCACTGAAGCCATTCGAACCGAAATTCAAACACGCAAACCAGGGGCGACGTCATCCGGTGGCTCTTTTTAATTGGCTGATGCTAAATGATGGCTGCGATACAATAAGTGGACTACAACTCCCAGCTAACATTTCGCGCTTCTCTCTCCGTGTAACCGTACTACTGAATTAAATACATTTAAAATAAACCCCAAAGGCTCATGTATTAAAATAATTGCCAAACACGCTAACGGGACACATTCGCTATAATTATAGTTAGTTTTGGAAACGTGAAATGTACTTAAAACACTTTTTTTAATATCGTGTTTTCAATTTTAGTTAAGGTGATTTCTTCAGCTTCCGCAAATTAAAATAACCTTGCGGTTCAGAGCCCTATTTTACTGAAAATGTTGGTCGAATTCCATTTTGTAAAATTAGTCCACAAACTATAAAGGTTCCGGTTTTCAGCCTACCAATAACTAATTCGTGGCAATCAGTTCAAGGGCTTGATTGAAACACAGCGTGTTATGATAAATGAATGTGCACATATAGTCGGAAATGCGCTTAGATTGAAGTGGGCGTGGTCCAAACTAGTCACTAGGGAGCAATATAATATTTCATGGATTTTAATTATAGCCTTCATCAATATTTATAGTAGCTGATCTCGGTTCTTCTATCACCTCTGGTGACCTGCTTTCTAACATTTTCTGCCGAGAGCTCACTGCGACATGAAGCTGTCAGCATCCGCTCTGATAAATTAAAACATAAAATAAGCCTTTGTTCTACCCTCCCTTGAGCCCACCCGCATGTCCAGCACAATTACCCTCTCCCTTTTGTTGTTTTGCAGCCTGTATTGATGTCTACAGGACACACTCCAATGTACACTTCTGCTGTTTCCACACTGGTAAGAGCACTAACCTGCGCCTGTAGGGAAAGCCCGAATGTTGTCATGCTCTGTCATCACTGTCCAGACTTGCATGTGTGCTCGTTTCCTGTCATTTTCTTCAATCTGGTTTTGGCCCAGGTCTCTTACAGATTAATATGACATAATGATCCACCATTCCAAGATATTCATCTGTAAGCAAGGATGAGGTCATCTTTTTGATGGTTGTGTGATGTCACGGTGTCCTAATTCAGTGTCTCGGTGCATGTGAATATCTTCTCTGCAGTGGAAATAAATGTGTGTGTGTGTGATACAATGTGGATGACACGATTGTTACAATAACGCGCACGCATACTCTGCTGCCTTCAAATTTTCTCCTTGTAATTTAGCACATACAGAGACATCCTAAAACATGTGGATGGGCACGTCAGTGGTAAAAGCAACGACGGAATAAATCCCCGCGGGGTCAACCTTCCAAACGTCCGTGGCCCGCGGTTGAAAGAAAAAACATCAATAATCCTGATTGCAGATCACTCATTAGCCTATAGGTGTCAGTGTTTGACCGTACTACGTGGCGTTCCTGACCTCGAACAAATCATTATTACTATTTCTGAATAAACTTGTCATAATCAGTCAGGTGGCGTTGATCTCATGCCCCGTGAATTGCTCACGTCACTTTTTGAAAACCAAAAAGTCAGCTGCCGGGAGCCCGCAACACACAACGGCGAGCACGACACATATCAAATGATTATTTTGAATCTCCCACAGGCTTGTCCTTCTATTTTTCTCACAATGGTTTGGCGGAGAAGGCGCTGCCTCTGTGATGCATTGCAGTATGTGCGTGGGCACCGTCGCAGCCGGTGTAGTACTCGCGTGGTCGTGTTCGTGTGTAGGCGGTGTCGTCAGTCTGTCGCTTTTATTGCATTAATGGCGCAGGGCTCGCCACCAGCACTCCAGGCCTCACTGATTTACAGGTAGGAGGCTCTCAGCGAACACGGCAATACTTGGGCAAAGTAGGTAAAGAGGAGAATTCTGGGTGATAAACAGGATCCAGCAAACATCTGCTTTCGCTTCGGGAACAATCAATGCTCATTATGGGACCGCATGAAACAATCACGAGCCAATGCAGATATGGGCGCCGCCATTTTCCACTTCTGCTGACTGTCAATCACAAATCCAGCACTGTCGCTATTAAGTTCGTGATTGGATGAGCGCGTCGGGTGCGTCCGCTGCACAGGTTGGATTTTTTTTTGGGGGGGGGGGGCAAATTTACATTCATTGTTTCAATTAGCAAAGCAACAACACAAAAAATATCACACATAGTGCAGAAGGTATTTTGCCATTCCAAAAAACAAAACAAAAAATCTGGCTTTTTTTTTTTTGACATTAACAGAATAAGTGAGATTTTTTTCCCCCGAAAATAATAATATTAAGTCCCCAAAATAGGTTAATTTGCAAATATGTGGGGGTCCAAAGTACAAATACCTTTCTGACAGCGCTAGTCAAAACATTTTCAAACAATGTGTACACAGATCTTGTATCCGATTAGACTGTGAAGGTAAACCTTAACGATAGTACACACAACATGCCATGAGTCCCACACCTACAAAGCTGGAGAGAACCAACTGGCAGCTCTTTTTATCATTCCACTTTGTCTTTTCTCATCTAAAAAGGATGCACATCACTGTAGCGCAAAAAAAAAAAAAGAAAAAAAAAAACAACTTGTTTTTCACGCAAATCATCCTCAAAGACTGTCACCCCCTTGCTGATGTGTCTGACATCCATCTTTAATTGCAGGCTTCTATAGCATTCCCCCAAGAGATCTCGATTATACCATCCCCTCTCTGCTCTGCACTTTTGTCATCCTGTATCTGCTGTCTATCTTCATTTTCCTCGCCCTCCTTACTTTTCTTTAATAAATGTTTGAAGATGTCCCTGCAGCTTCAGTGTAATTACTGTGCGCCAGCAGTCCAGGTCCGCTGGGAAGGGAAGGGCATAACTATGCATGAAAGAGGAGGGGGGGAGATGAGAGCTGCGCGCACACTGTATGAATGACAGACGACAGCTAGAGAGAGCCCACACTTAGAAAGGTGACATAATTGGAAAGGTAAGGTGGAGGCGTTTTCGCTAACAAAATGAGAACATCAAGTTGACAGCTTGTCCTTCCGCATGGCCTTACATCAGTCTGATCAATGGGTACCGTACGTCCCCTGCGCGGATGCATGGGCAATTGGCGGCGACGCGGCCCGCGACCACATTGAGTAGCCCCGTGATTAATTAAAAATAAATAAATAAATAAAATTCCCGTGGAGTTTCCGCGATTATAGCTGACTCGCTATCTATCCGACTTCTAAACCTGCTTGTGATGTGAGGCCGGTTTGAGCTGCTCGTCCTTCAAAGTTCCACCACAGCATAATTCCCCTCTCGCATCACCAGCGCGGCCATTATATTGAAAGACAGCCGAGTAATTGCCAACAAAATTCCCCGCTCGCTCCTCTTTGCCTCAGCGCCACGGGAGGGGAGGAGTAAAGTACAGTATAGCAGCAGAAAACATGAACTGCATTTTTCAACCGAGCGCAGACCGGCAGCCGAGCGACGTCGCTATCGCTGCCCGCTGATATGGATGATGGAGGACGTCAGGGATTAGTAATGGGTTGTTTTTTTTTTTTTTTTTGGAATGGGTGACTTCTTAAGACAGGACGACAAGGACTCGGATAATAGCCGTGAGTCATATCAGGGATGAGGAATTTGCAAAGCTCAAGCTGTTGTTTTCAGGGATGCAGATGAGGTCTATACCGTTCTGAGACAGCAAGGAGGAGGAGGACACTAATTGGGTCATGCACGTTCTGCCCAAAGCTCAGTACAATCAACCAGAGTGGTCCGTCTATGCCGTGGACAAGCAGGTGTTAAGTGGGAATACCGCGGATGATTCCGTTTCATCAAAGGGACGTGGAAGCTACGTGGACTTTTGAACCAATGTTATGAAATCGCTTTGCATGAACGCAGTGTTTTGGGCAGCAAGCGCTTCTAGCGTGCAACCGGAACTCTTCCCGACACACATTACTGAGTGTGTGTGTCTTTTTTGGAGATGTGTGTAGGGTTTACGCTCTAACTAAACCATCATTTAGACCTCTGCACTGAGGTAAAAATGTTTATTTCCGCGGGGCGTGCGAAAAACATGGGCTGCCAGCTCCTCAACAATGTACGGAACCCCAAGAAACGACCACGTCATACAAGGGTAGGTTTGCGTTTCCTGTTGCGGTCGTATTATTTGTCCATTGATGGTAGTGAGAGTGGTGGATTGGATTGTACATTTTTCAGGCTCATAAATTTGTACTCATATACAGTATCGTACAAAAAAATAGCCCCATACTTCTTCGTATCGTGGTTGAGGGCATTCACACAGTTGACCCAGTGACAGAAGGTGCCAGATGTCGATAGGAGTGCAAAATTTTATTTTTGCATTTTCAGTGTAACCTCAAATAATATTGTATATTGATAATATCACCTAATTTAAAAAATATATGCATATACGTGTTCATTTAATTACCTCATATTTACCCAAGTAAGGTAATTGTCAACGGATTCTTGTTTGGAATTCCAACCTGGCAAACAAAGCAAACACAAATATATCAACAACATATTCGACAAACTGTACGATGATATAATAACATAAGAAAATAATATATTACAATATAACTTATTTTTGGAACAGGCCCTCGGGCTCCTCAGGTGGTCTTTGGTGGCTTACTTGGCACCATGTTGGCGACCCCCAGTGTTAAATCATATTTACTGCACGTTTGTGACTCAACTTCTATTGATGTGAAACATTCGGCTCTGTGTTCGTCATATTCCCGCAAACGTGGAGGTGGTGGCCATCTGCGTACACATTAATGCACAATGCCACCTTTTCTAACACCCCACGCGCAGGACTTAATAGTGAGCCAACAAACAGGAAATCTACTTAATGCGACATCCAAATTAACTTCTGTGCCGCCGTGACCTCAACCAGTACTAAAATCAGCACCCTTCGCTTTATCATATTGCCAACATTAATAAAACGTCTCACCAAATACACAGCTTCTCATTATGCCATCGTAATGCACGACTCACTCTACGGTACGATCATCTAACTTGTTCTGGCTCGAAAGGAAAAACATTGTTTCTTACTGTACTACGTACAAACATTTGGTGCTTCCCACGATGCTTGTATTGCTTAATTGTTGCAGTAATTTATTGGGTATTTGAAAGGAAAACATTAAAGTTGTCGACTGTTTAATGGGCCTTCCAACTGCGGGGTGTGCAACCTCTCTGATGCATCATTTGCATTTTACAAATTGAGGCGGGGAAGGTTCAACACCCGTTAGGTGATTGATTGATGTTAAATGTTTTTATATTTTAGACCAAAAAAAACCCCCCGAAGAGGTTATTTAAATATGCTGCTTCACTCTGATGAGGATAATCAGACAAAGCAACCAAATACAGATGCCAATCCGAAAATTCCCAACGTTCCGCACGGTCAAAATTTGTGCAGGACAGCTGGCTCTACATTATCTTTCCTCTCTGCTAGCTATATTCATTATTTCTGTCTGGGGAATAGATGAGGATGAATTTGACGTCACGTTCAACGGCACGGCCCGCTGGCCACAGCTACACATTGATGCATTGCACAGGCACGGTTTTAATGGTAGAGTGAGCATTATGAGGAGGCGGCAGGAGACTTGTATTTATCGTTTCGAGGCTGCTAGATTAGAACCGTTATCATTAACGCGAGGGAAACGGCAACGATTTCCGATTGCGTTTCATCGGCTTTTTACGGCTGTTCCTCCCAACATGTAAATGCTGCAAATACGCGGCGGTGAAAAATCACCTTAATTAGAACTCGCGCTCGGCCCCAGCGTGCTGATTGTACAAATAGTTAAGCTCTTTCACGTGAACATTTTACAGCATCACGATCAATCAATGGCAGATATGGTGCAGGGAACATGCAAAGCCTTCACAAAATCCAAATGAATGTCTATGAGAAAGGCCGAAGGGGCCTGCTAAGAAATTAACGTGCGATTGGATGTATTTGTAAGGGCAGTCGGATCGGAATTCAACTTGTCACAGTCCGTTACTGCAGTACGGTATCGCACCACACGGTGGCGCCTCGTTCACTTACTTTAGTCAACTTTAGTGTGTGAGTTCGTCACCTTTTCCGTACATTCGTACTTTTTTTTTTTCTTTTTCTTTTTTTGGTCATGGAATCGGCTCTTAAATCGCGCATGTTAAATCGGAGTGACTGTTATTTCATTCCGAATAAACGAGTTTTTGCTCCTTCGACTGTCCAACAACATTATGTCCAGGGCTGGTTACCTCCTCAGCTCACACCACCACGTTACAAACTCAACTTACAGCACTTGTATAAAAATAGGACCATGTCGTTATTTTCTGAAACAATTCTAATATGCCTCGAAGTGCAGGATAATGTAGTGAGTGACTTGCGTCACAATCTTGTGCAGAGCCGTGTCCGATCAATGGTGCTAAACAGTGAGTGGTTTCTATCCTTAACATATCAAAGTGTGAAATAAGGAACTCAAGGAAAGTGATTAAAAGCAATTCGTCCACACATTCAGTCTGTTTAGCGTAGTTGGCCCCTTACAGCATTGATAACACATGCGGAACAGTCCTTTAAAACAGCCATACCAAAATAAGGCAACGGCTTCCAGTTGAGGTAATAGTGGCTGGCGTGAATTATTTATCTGACCCTCATGAAAACATAATAGCAACCGGCATGAGCTCTTGACTCATTATCCCGTATCCTTGAACGTAACAACCACGGCAAAGTGGGAAAAGCCGTACGCCGAGAGCCAAAATGGCCATTTGTCATTGCTGCGACGGGAAGGTTTCACGGTTATTCTGACGAGAGCTGCCATGTCTTTGACTCTCTGGCATGATTCTATTATATAATGCACATGTCTTCTCTCCTTCTCTCTCGCTCCAGGGAAATAGTCCTCCTGTGGTGGTGAACACGGACACACTCGATGGATCCCCATATGTAAGGACCGACGTCTAATCTCGAACGCGACTTGACAAAAATGACGTTCAAATTCCTTTGCGTGGGTCTTGACCAATGGTCGCCACATTGACGATTAATTCGGTAAAATGATAACAGTGCTGGGCGGCTTCGCTTCAGGTCCTGATATCATTGCCAATGTGATTGATTGTATGTTTTGTGCCCTGCGACTGACATGGGCCACCGGCCACGTGTTTTTCGCCGATGGTTGGATGTAATGAAAAGCATTTTGAGGATCAACAAAGTGAGGCATCAACTGTTTGTTTGTTACAGTTCGAATGCTGGTTAAAAAAAAAAAAAAAGTTGTTTCTAGGTCAGACATCAGTTCCTTCAATTTTGTTTTCCACAGGGGACGCCTTTAATTGCCAAGGTACTACTGATGAGTTTTTATGCTCTTCAGCCAGAAGGTAAATTAGAGCAAAAGAACAATGTGGCTATTCATCAATCGGGTACCTTACTGGCATAATCATAATAATGCTTCCAAAAAAAGGGGCGGGGGGGGGGGGG